GACTGACACATTAAAAAAATTTCCAGGATAATAACCAATTATCCGATCTTTATGAAACTTGGTTTTTGGTGCCTAGGAATGTTACCTTAAATTATAAAATTAATTTCACTATCCTAGCTACAATAGAAATATCCAAAGGCAAACATATATCAGTTATACCAATATATTACTCATAGCCCTGGTGCAATTAAGACAAAAATGCCCCAGGCGTTTTACAACAATTACGCTAACCTGTATCCGGTCGGCCGATACGGCGAGGGGTCAGACATCGCACACGCGGTCCTGTATTTGGCTTCAGACGAGTCCTCTTTCATCACCGGTACGGCTCTGGTGGCCGACGGCGGACATCTGGTCTCAGCTGCCATTTAAATACACATAAGAATATACTACTTGTTAACATGATCATGATTTAAGACAATCGTGATTAGATATACAAACTAATTTTAATTACTTGAGCTGTATTCTATATATAATTAATTATAATAGAATTTAATTAAATTAAAATTTTTAACTTTGAAAAATATTTTTAAATAAGACATTGCTAAACAAATTAAATGGCAGAGTACTAGCATGCTATTGTAGGTAAATTCTACATGGTAGAATAATAAGTATAATACAATATAATAAAAATAAAACACAACAATTAATAAAGTTATAATAATATTAGAAACAATCTATTTTTATTTTTAATTCATTACAAACTTCTTAATAACAAATGCCAGAACAATTAGCAAACCAAAACGAACAAGGTTAAAATCAAACACCGAATTTGAGCTCGATACTTTAATGTCAACGTATTTGTGACTAATTTTATCTTCATCAACGGTGACCACTCGGTAGCCAGAGTTGGCATTTTGTTGAGGGGGTGGCGATTGGGCGCCGATAGCCGACGTCACTATGAGCTCCATGTTTTTGTAACGGCCGCCGGCGTTGCGGTGATAATGGCCGGCGAATATGGCCCGCACTCCCGCCGCGTGAAATTTGTCCACCATTCTGTGTCGGGTCACGTTCTCGATGTTGAACTAGGTAAAAATATAAATGTATTTTGAGATAATATTGGGAAAATACTAATCTTCCCAAAAGTGTCTAACAATAGTGAGAATAAAATAAAATTTTAATCACCATTTCATCCAACGGTTCATTTATATCATTCAGAAACCACGGGATGTGTTGAAAGACAACCACGTGCTTATAATTGCCCGCTTTGGCCTCCAGGAGCTGTTTGTCAATCCATTGATCTTGCTCGTCGTAAAGAGCTAGCACATTTGTATGATCCTTATAAAACTGGACATTGATTACGATAAACATACAGCCGTCGACCCAGAAGGTGAAATAGTCGTCACCGAATTGGTTCTTATAGGCCGTCACCGACTCTACGGTCGGACTGTTCAGGAAGTCGTGATTTCCTCCTTAAGAGTGTAAGAATTTTATTCATGAGAGAGAGAGAGAGAGA